TAACGGTGCAAATCGCTGCTAAACAATCTATATGTAGTAAAATTTCAAAGTCCTTTCTTTCCTGGTCAGCGTTTCACGTAAACATGGAGATTGACGCATGAGTTTGCCAAAAAAAAAATTTACACCGAGGAAAAATAGCAAGTATATATTCTCGTTAAATAAATAGCCTTATGGACTAGCGTCGAACAGTTGAGGACACGAAAAGAGAGAAGTTCAGCTGCATAGGGAGTCGCGAATCTCGAATAATACACAAGGTTAGTCTCGATTACATGCAGTGCATGGTCACTGATGGTAGGTCTGTAATTATTGTTGACCTTATTTGTTTTAAATTTCATCATTCTTTTTTTTTTCTTGATTTCAGAAATAATCGTACATATTATATGGCTGGTGTATTATAAGAATGTCACACAATATTTCGTTATATGAATGAGTTCGGATTCACTTATTTTGTATGCAATATGAATCATGCAGAATGAAATTTCATATATTTGTTCTGACAACAAATTGTGAGGAGTAAATTATCTGTCGTTAATGATTTGTGTCATTAAGATTTCATGCTCTGTATAAGGTCTACTCAGAACTGATTTTTTTCCTATGTCTGGAAATCTTTGTTAACAAATATATAATTAGCACAATTAACACAGTTGGGACAGGAAGCGAAGCCATTACTTTATGGGTAATTAAGCTGCAAATTCTCTTAAACTGAAAATGGAGTAACTTGTGTCGACTGACCTAGTTCAGCTGGTAGGGGCGTGATGGTTTATCTAAAGAGGTCTAATTATGCCACGGTCAGTTGGAATATAGTAGCCGCTAACAAGACGCTGATTTATGATAATAGGATTGTGTATCAATATTAGGATGTGAATGACCATAGCTAGTTCTGTTGAGTTCGATTGACGATATCTGACATACGAGAATGGGAATATTTGTTAATCCCAATGAGAAGGACAAACCAGACATGTATTTAGGATGGGTATTACAATTTATTTTGAAGGACAGAAAATAGCTCTCGACACATCTATGATGTACAGTGTGGAAAAGAGCAAAATCTGCAACAGAGAGAGAGAGAGAGAGAGAGAGAGAGAGAGAGAGAGAGAGAGAGAGAGAGAGAGAGAGAGAGAGAGAGAGAGAGAGAGAGAGGGAGGGAGGGAACGACTACGACGATCTATCACCAGCAGTGATTTGGGAAAAACGGAAACAGGAGGTGATGATGCTGGTAATCTGAGTTCTATCACTCACTCGATCATATGATGAATTTTGTTATACCAGTATAACAAAACGGGTAATTGAATTTCGTATAATTGTATAAGTTTATATTTGAGATAATGTGAATCATTCACATAACATATTCAATTTCATACAATTTATGCAATTTTTGTGTTATTCTATATCTCTGTTCAGTTTCTCTTATTCCATTCTTAATTTTAATATTTTATTTTATTAATTACTCGATCCGGACAATAACACTGTAGTCTGTCATCTCCTAGAAAATGCTAACCAAAATCCTACCCTATGGTTGAGATCACACATCTTTACCATCTCCTAAACCATATGACTGAATTTGTAACGGAATTATTCCTCCAACGATTGCTCAAAGTGGGGCCAGAAATATTCTTTAAGATTCAGTTAAAATTATGAAGTTGAATTTAGCGCTACAGCTCACAAGACATCTTTTTACACTCATCTACCAAATTATGTAACAGACTACGTGAAGATGTAAGAAACTAACAATTCAATATTTGTTCGCAAAACAATTAAATTCAAACAAGCATGAGCCATCATACCTTTTCATAGATGAAAGAAATATATATCGTACATGCAAAACCGAGGAATTAACTGTTTAGTACTATATATGGAATATATTTGAATCAGTATGGTGCCAGTATATTGATTAGTTTAATTATTATGGTGCCAATCCATTGATTAGTTGTATAATTATGGTGTCAATTGTGTAGTCGAATTAGTATGGTGCCAATGCATTGTGTAGTTGAATTATTATGGTGTCAATTCATTGTGTAGTTGAATTATTATGGTGCCAATGCATTGTGTAGTTAAATTATTATGGTGCCAATCCATTGATTAGGTGTATAATTATGGTGTCATTTCATTGTGTAGTTGAATTAGTATGCTGCCAATGCATGGTGTAGCTGAATTATTACAGTGCCAATGCATTGTGTAGTTGAATTATTATGGTGCCAATGCATTGTGTAGTTGAATTATTACGGTGCCAATGCATTGTGTAGTTGAATTATTACGGTGCCAATGCATTGTGTAGTTGAATTATTATGGTGCCAATGCATTGTGTTGTTGAATCATTTTGGTGCCAATCCATAGAGTTGTAGAATCATTGTGGTGGAGTAGTTGCTCTGAAGCACATGAAACAGAATATCACTATTTCTTTCAGTGGAAATTATACATTGTGGTCCGCATTGTTGTTTTACCGATATTCACAGATGTTGTTCTTTTTAGTTTAAAAAAATATTTTTCATTGATTTACAACAGTTTCTTAACCCCACCCCGCCATCCAATATATTTTTCCGGATACTTTTTTTCTTAACTATTAACTGCTTACGAGATTGTTAACTTGTCAAATGCCAGTCGAAGGGGCATTACACAATGCCATAGACAATAACTATCCTACTAGAATATCTAAAGTTTGTTTCCTCGTGTTCTTGCTTAAATTATTCAACTTAATTTATTTGATGATTCATCCTAAAACCAACATTTACCTGTGCTAATTTTCTCCTCTATCTCTGGTAATAAACAAAGCAAAAGAACTCTCAAATGTTATAACAATTTAAATAATCCAGTTAATTTTCGATAAGCTGACAAAATTTCTATTTATAAAAATCTATACTACTCGTCATTCTAACATTTCAAATCCAATTATCCACACACCTTTAAAATTGTAATAATAGTGAGTGAGATCGTTTATTGTGATGTTACGTATCTGGGTATATTTGATTACTGGACAAAACATTTAAGTACAAAAATGTAGAAGATGAAAGAATGAATTTTTAATATTTTGTTGTTACATATTATTAATTTACTGATCTCTCTCATTTTTTTGTTTATTTTGTTCTAATGGAACTTTTATGTGGTCTTTCTCTCCTTTACAATTACCTGCAATTACCTGCATCTCAACTCTGTCCGCGTGGATTCGAGTCTTGATTCGACGAAATGTGTGATGTGAGAAAAGATTGACACGAAATATTCTAGCGGCTCTATATAAACATTTGTTTATCCCCACCCCAAAATAAAAAAGTACATCTCTTATGGGTTAAGTACTTCATAGATTATAATTTACTTTGTTATTATGATGCGGTAATCATTCACTGAATTTGTGGAAGACCCTGCATTTTCGTGACAATTTCTGCTCTGTAATAATTATTCATGTCCCATATTATATACCATCCCTACTATGGTTAAAGTTCATGCTCTTTAGTGATTATGGTTTGACCCTTATTGTCTACCATACCTGCAAAGGTTAAAGTTCGTGCTCTATAATGATTACGATGTGCCGCATAGACTGCATTACCTACAAAGGCTTTGGTATAAAGAATATGATGTACCCCACTGTGTCTACCGTACATACTAGGGTCAAAGCTGTTGCACCATAAAATTTAAGTACTGTTACATAAGGTGTAAGGTTAAAGATTTTTCTCTATAAAGATTATATTGTGTCCCATATTGTCTATCATACCCGTTAAAGTTTAAGAGTTTACTCTGGTAAAATCATGCAATAACCATCGTTGTACCATACCCACTGATTTTAAGAAAGTCTTTAACCTTGCATGCGTTAAGATGGTGTTGAAAACATACTTTAAATCATCCTCTGCCACGTTGATCTTCAAATAAATTTCCCCTTTTGTGACTGCTCTTTTTTTGTTGTCTCAATCCTTAGTCTATTCTTAGAGATAAATCACCGACCCTCCACCCCATCCCCCAAACAAGTGATGTAGGCTGCAAGACATTTAATAATTGTAGTAAAAGTGAATATGAACGCCAGCTTAAGTATTATCTAATTATTAATACCCCTGTCACCACCCATCCCCTCTCCGTCAAACTCTATAGCTACTCCTCCTTTATGTTCATTTTGGCTGCAAGATTGATATCATGAAATGTTTTATTTTCGAAAACAGAAAATGCCAATAAACAATCCAAAAAGAAAAACTAAAAAATAGAACGAAACAATGGGTGATAGTTGGTAATCGATGTCATAATACCTTTTTCCACATAGAAGTAAATACCTTGTCGCGTGGAGGATTAAGTAAGGTATAATCTGATCTCCGTAATAAGAAACTTGTAACAGACTTTCAGGACAAAATTTATGTGACTCAGGAAATATGCCAAATTATGTGATTCCGGAAATATGGTAAATTTTTTGTAACATATTAAATAACAAAAAAAAAAGAAGATAAAAGAGAATAAAATTTAAAACTGTATAAAAGTTCCAAATTGCTGCATACTAGCATTGTGCTATTACAAGAGTTGGTTTTCCAGACTATTCTTACTTGAAGAACTCACATTCAAACTTAATGTATCATTTTATTAAAGGAAAATTCGATTAAATTTAAAATGGTTTATATGTCTCTTATGTTTCGTTTTTAAGAATCTTTCAAAAATCATAATAGAAATATCAGAAATGATGTATATAAGATTATGGTTACACTTATTAAAGTTTAGTGATTTTAACAACGTCTAGATTTATCATTTTTGTAATTTCATCAAGTTGGATTCCTCAAATAAGGCCAGTTAACCTGCAGAAACAATTCAAGATACGCTACATTCAATTACAAATTAAGATTTTTTAAATTCAGTCATTTTTATCCATTCTTAGTCATGTATAAGTCATGCCAAATCTTACAGATTGGTAGACATGCGCATTACTACCATCATCTTATAAAATATGACCAATTTACCAGTAACCTCACTACCTAGCCAAAGAGAAAGCTTAAAATTTAAAAATGTTGCTATTCCTTTAATCATGTTGTAGAACCGCTCAGGTGGCCTAGTGGTTAGAGCGTTCGACGTGGATGCGGGAGGTCGTAGGTTCGAATCCCGGCCCAGTCATACCAAAGACTTTAAAAAATGGCACTAAGAACTGCCTCGCTTGGCGCTCAGCGTTAAGAGGTTAGTGTTGGAACTGGTTAGCCTGGTGTCATGATAATATGACTGGGTGGGATATCGTGCTACATGTCTGCGGCATGATGCCCCAGTGCTAGACATCTATATAAACTGTCACACTGCAGACATCGTAACGATATGACTAAAAAAATGTTGAAGCTACGTAAAAAATCTAAATCACACACACAATCATGCTATAACTACTGGGACACTTTAATTTGTCACACTATGATGGCGTGTAAACATTATGGAGAGTTGAGTCTTAAATAGCATCGAAAGTCATGGGTCAGAAATTCACCTAATGACATGTTTGACTGGTTAATGGGAATTAATAATCCATTTATAATTTATAGCTCTGGTGGTAAATTCCAAAGACGATCGGTATTGATCCATTTATTGTATAACTGTAATGTATAATGGCGCTCTATACTGTCCGTTTGGTTGATTTGGTCGGTGGCCTGAAAGGTAACGAAATAAAGATTTATTGGTAGAATTGCAAAAATTAGGTTGTAAAAGAAAATACATAAAAAAGACGAATCACCTCGGGGGAAAAGTTTCGCACAAAACGAGCCTATTCAGGGAGGAAATGAATTTGTGATAAAACATTCAATCTCTGTTTCAATGATGTATATCATATTGTACTGCATTTGCAACAATTTGCCCCTTGCAGAAACCCAAATGTACAAAATTTGTACATGTGTTTCCTGGTTATGCTAAAGAAGAATTACAGATAAGTAAGTACCGTATTTTATCATATATAAATCTGAAAACAACACTGAGCTCTGCCGTTAAATAACGCGTAAGATATTCAGTCTATGCAATTTGTTCTGTTTACTAACAAACTGCATGTAGAACACGCGAACTAAATATGCCGTCACATAATCTGCCCATAAACCAGGCCTTGACTCGCACTTAATTCAGGGAAATCGGACATTCCAATCTCATTTTAGGTAAAACGGACAATCCAGTCTCACTTCAGGGAAAACGGATATTCCAGTCTCACTTCAGGGTATAGGGCTATTACAGCCTCACTTCAGGGAAAAGGGACATTCCAGTATCACTTCAGGAAAAAATGGACATTCTGGTCTCATTTCAGGGAAAAGGGACATTCCAGTCTCATTTCGGGGTAAAGAGACATTCCAGTCTCACTTCAGGGAAAACGGATATTCCAGTCTCACTTCAGGGTATAGGGCTATTCCAGCCTCACTTCAGAGAAAAGGGATATTCCAGTCTCACTTCAGGAAAATGGGACATTCTGGTCTCATTTCAGGGGAAAGAGACATTCCATTTTTACTTCCGGGACAAGGGACATTCCACTCTCACTTCAGGGAAAACGGATATTCCAGTCTCATTTTTCAGGGAAAACGGATATTCCAGTCTCACTTCGGGGAAAAGGGACATTCCAGTCTTACTAACGGAAAAGGGACATTCCAGTCTCACTTCAGGGAAAACGGATGTATGAAAAAACAACACAACAGTAAGGATGTGATTCCAGCAATGTATTAAAAGTCAGATTAACATTTAACGAACCCGAACTTAACTCCATGTAAAGTTTTGTTGATACAAACGAAAGGCTGGCTGAAATTTAATCAGTCGACTGTCTCTGAAAGTAGTAAACCTGACACTTGAGCTCTATTATTCTGACATTTCAGAATAGACATGTAATTTACTAATTTCAGGATCGTTTTTCATCTGTTCGTTTCTCTGTTCTTCTTTCTTTTTACAAACTTTCTCTCACGCAGATGTGAAACATTTTTCTCTGCATTTGATTTATTAATGCAAAATGCCAGAAAGAGACACACAAAGAGAGACACACAGGTCATCCTGTCTAACTTTGTCATGATGCCATTTAGGGATAGAAAAATGAATGCATCTTTGATGGAACAAACATTGTGCAACACACACACACACACACACACACACACACACACACACACACACACACAGACACACACACACACACAGACACACACACACATTACCGCATCCTTAATGTTTGTTTTTTAATTCTGTTATTCTGACATTTCAGAATAGACATGTAATTTACTAATTTTATGATCGTTTTTCATCTTTCGTTTCTCTTTTCTTCTTTCTCTTTACAAACTTTCTCTCACGCAGATGTGAAACATTTTTCTCTGCATTTGATTTATTAATGTAAATCGTTATAACTATTAGGACATTGTAAAGTTATTAAGACTGAAATTTTCTCTGAATTGTATTTAAAGGATTTTTCATTAAATAATATTGAAAGTAATTTTCCGCTAAAATATATTGAGAGTAATTTTACCTACGACGTTTATGCATATCGGCTGCGAGATTTGGTTAGTCATGTGACTAGCAATTAAAATGGTGCGAACGAGGTCAAAATTCATCAACGCTGTAGTTACGTCTCGTCTGACAACAGATTAAAGACAAAATCGTATTATGCTGGTGATTTCGGAGAAGATAAATGATTTCCCTATCGATTTAATGTAATTATGGGTCATTGTAAGGTAATTTAAGTTTGCTAGGCCTGATAGTTGGCGAGTACCCTATGCCGACACCAAATGGTGTCGGCAAATTCCAAGTTTTTGATAGGGAATAGACTCTGACCCTACACCCCAACATAAAAAAACCAAATATCAAAAATGGAGTGTCAAGGGTCAGAGAAAACTCGGACTACTATTTCACCAATGTAAGGCAAAATGGCTCTTTTTGACACATCTGAAGGTTGAAAAACACCTTCCGATAGTATTAACTTATTAATTAAAGAGATTGTTGTCTTAAACTGTGCATTCATTGTAAGACTATTGCATTTAAATGTTGAAGAATGAAATTTGTCTAGCTAAATTTGACGCATTTAACACAATGCTCGATAGGTTAAACTGAAATATTTTCTGGAAGCTGCATTTGAAAAGTCAACGAATGAAAAGTAAAAACATTCATACGTTTCATAGCATTTCGGTTGAATAATATATTGGTGGGAGATACTTTATAGCTCAGTCTTTGCTCATCCAATGCAGACACTGAATTTAGATTGAGCAGAAGCAGTCCTGCGACCCAAATCCGCATTCCACCCATACCTTAAAAAAGAAAGAGGTCTGAAAGCTTTGCTGGCAAGAGAAAAAAAAAAAGAAGAAAAGAAAAAGAAGGCATGGGGAACTGATGGAATGGCGGAAGGGACTAGAAATAGCTTTCCCATTTAGAAAGGAATTTCCTTCTGAATTTTGCACTGAATTCAATGACAACCTAGTCGTTTTCGACCTGTATTCAATTGCGTGAGCGTTCTATGAAATGCATATTTTAAACATTTCTTAAGTTATGAGCAATTCCGTTTCATAGCAAGAAACGAGAAGAAGGTTATAAGACAAAACTTTTATCATAACCGACTAACTTTATTACCTCGAAACGCTGTGAAAAATATCTGTAATTGCGCTGTTATATATATATATATATATATATATATATATATATATATATATATATATATATATATAAATAAGCCACTCGTTAGAGGTTCCAATGACAGTTCAAACATGAAAAGAAACTTTAAGGTTATATATGGAGATTACGCATATTTTATTTTCATTTTAGTCCCGATTTTTTCTTACATATCCAGTCTTAAAAAAGAGTTAAAAATGCTATGAAACGTATGAATTATTTACTTTTCATTCGTCATCTCTGATAAAAGGTCTAAAAGTGAATGAGCATCCATTTTAGTCAAATAAATCGGGTCTAATATAATAGGGACTGAAGGTAACAATGTTTTATATTAAATAATACTTTAGTGTATTCGGGTAATATAGCAGAGCCAACTGTTTTAAAGTTGCAATTTTTGAATAGATAACAAAATAGTGTGATGAACTGGTCGAATCCAGTCGCACTTAAGTAATTATTTGGTATAAAATGTATGAAATGTATTTTATTTATAAAATTATATTTTAAAAGTCGAATTGTATAGGCAATCATTTAAAGGCATACAACTCGCATGCATTTCTGATGATTTGTTGCCCTTACTAATTGTTTCCCCTTAATTATAACATTTTTAAACCTCTGTCCTGAGATAATTTTGGGATAGTAAAACGAACATATCCTAAAAGGCAGATATGCTATTAAAATATGTATACCTCTATAACTTTAATTCAGGTATTCGTGTTGCACTGAACCAGCATTAACCCAACCTTTCCTTGTTTTGCATTTGCATTCAGTTTTGACAGCGTAGAGTTATCTCAGAAACAAGGTGGTTCAATCAGTATATGCATGCTTGAAGTTTACTGGTATTACAAGAAAAATTGGCATTCGTCAAATCACCCCGTAACCATCTCGATTTGGCGACGTTTATTTATGCATGCATAAAATACGTAAACCAAGTCGGATGTTCAACTGCAGCCCACGTTACTCATTTAATCTCCACTGCTAATCTGAAAGTGAGAGACAGTCACCTAATAAGCCAAACCACTTTTAAACATAATTCAAACTAAGTGTAAACCATATTGCAGTTGTAGTTTTTGTATCAATTTATAAACGTAAGGCTCAAGCAGACATTAAGGGGATTCCAAAATGCACAACTATCCAGTACTTTGTCTTTACAGTTAAATGGTTCAAAATGGGTGCCCTGAAAAAGCGTAGAAAAGGCCTTCGGCGGCATTTCCATTCCATAGACACCATGCCAGTTTGTTTAAGTTTCCCAAAATTATTTTTAGATCTGCCACTTTACCTTAGATGTATAAACTAAGGAAGCCTGAGAGACCAATAATTATTTTTAAAACTACAGATTTCCTGGTTATATGTATAAACAGCGAACCTTTACAACCCACTGCTCTGTTTTTCTCAATGGATGTATCTTCCGTAGTCACCAATACTCCACACGATGAAGGAATAACAGCAGGCGAGAAAGCATGGCAAACAAGAACCAAAATAGAAAATAACCACTTGCTATCTTGTACGACTATTTAAACTAGTGCTAC